TTGCATCAACGCAACACCAGCGGCTAATGGGTTAATATCAGTCAAATTTTATGGAAGGGAACTATACATGCTGGATAGAGCATGAGGTGCAATATTAATTTTCAACAAATTTGGCTTATTGAAATAGAATCAAAATCAGTATTCAAATGAGCGTGTGACATCTTGTGATTACCATCAATTTTATCAACTGAACTTCCTTGTAGCAGATAGGATACTTGTATCTAATTTTAAAACTTTTTAATATATATTAACATTAAGGAAGGTAAAGACTCTGCATTTCAATATTTGTTCTTTGCTAGAGCTTTTCAAATTATCAGTTCACATTTGGGTACTAGTCCTCAAACTGAAATTTTGATTAGCTTTATTTTACATTAGAAATGAATTTATAATGGTCATTATAAAAAGTTTTTTTTCTTTAAAAAAATTTCTGTGTGTCTTTAAATTGTCATTATTATTGAAAAGTTTTTAATGAAGACATTAACATTCATCTATATTTTTAAATAATCGATTTTCTAAATTCTGTTTTACTGTATTTTTAATATAAGAGTGATGAGTTTGTTGTAAATATATAGAACCTGTTTGAAGTATTTTTGCCCTCCATTTGATTAGAAAGCTTTGCAATCTCTGGAATTTGTTTCACATGTAGAAATAATGGTTATCAATTACGATATTGGTGTTTTTCCTTATTTTTAAAAAGAAATAATAAATGATAACTGAAGAGTTTTCCACTAAAAATTTTGCATTTACTGCTAGAAGTAGAGTGTTGATTTATCAAATTCTCAGAGTAATTGTAGTGGAAAATTTTTATAATTTTTTTAACATGTGTAAATATAGCAGAAGAAACTTTGTTATGATTGCATGCAATAAAAGAAATTAAGCTCTTATTACAAATCTTTTATTAATAAATTTCAAACTTTTCAGTCAACTTAATTCCTTTCGTACATCTCATGTTGGCTACTTCTAGTTTTTGTAATATTAGTAATCAGTTAAATGTTGTATTCTTTTAAGAGTACTGACTATGACTACCTTAACTGGTCTCTATAAAACTGTACAAAATATTATAATGTTTGTAAAATTTTATTTTTATTCTTTGTTAAAATTATAGGAAGTTAAAGTACTTAATTCTTATCAAAACTGAAAGTTTAAGTATACAGTAAAAATAACAGTATCTTATCAATAAATGCTTCCCTACCTATTATGATGATGATCTTAACTTCCAGCCCTTCCTTTAAGCACAAGTCAAAATGTTAGTAAATGATAAACATATTTAAGCTCATATATATTTTCCCCCTGGATAGTTGGGGTTTACTGAATTCAGATTTTTCTAATATTTTTACAGAAAATGTGCTTCTTTTTGCAGCATTAAAAAGTTCATATAGATTTAGCATGACAGAAAATCAATTTAGAAAAAAAAATTATTTTATTCAAATATAAAATTTATTTGCTCAAGATTTTAGTCGAATCAATTTTGCATGTAGCACTGTCAGAACTGTATCCTACTGATAACTAGGCAGTATGTATTGGAAATAAAATTTAATAGAAAATCGGTCATACTACTAGCCATAATTACCTCCACAACAGTTAAAATAATTTATATGCAAATTACCCTTGAGATTTTCAATTTTGAATGAGATACAAATATCAAAAGTTCTTTCATAAAAAGTATAATACGATTTTTGTTATTTAAAATATATTTACAATATATGTGTGTGTAAGTTGTCCATTCTCCTAAGTGTTAATTTTTATGCATTTGCTCTAAATGTAATGGTATAAATATCTTCCACAGGAAAGGAAAGAAAACAAAGACTGGTAAAGCTGGTTCTAAAAAAGAGCCAACTGATAGAGAAGCCACAGCATTGCCTCCTCAGGAAAAAACCCCAAAACAGAAAGGGAAAGAAGGTACATTTTGAAAATGCATGGCTTATATATATAGTTTTAAATTATAAATACCTTCTTTTCATATTATTTATTATAAATACATTCCCTTAACTTTCTATGAAAAAAATATCTTAGGTATAGTTCAAATTAAGAAAGCATGTATAATTTAAATGACCTTAAATATTGCTGTAATTAAAAGGAAAACATGAAACATTATTTGTGAGGAATTAAGAAGAGATACAAAATTAGGAATATACACATAGAACTCCAACCTACAGCCAAACTTCTCAGTAGTCAATGCATGAACAACAGTTTTACAACTTTTCAAATGTGCATTTAAGCATATTTTTTAATTGTTTATTTAACTATTAAATGTAATTAACTATGTTTAGCTTAAAAATCCATAAATGTAAAAAAAATAATAATTAAAAATACTTCTTGTAAATTATATGCATATTTAATTAGAAATTTTAATTATATTACTTAAGCAGGAATATAATTAAATTTGTTATTATAGCATAGAAGGCAATATTTAGATTATATATAATAGTAGACAAAATTAGAATCCATAAACCATATATCTTTATGAGGGTTTTGAATTGTGATTTGTACAGACAAATTTTTAGAAATAATAATGCATTATCCCGTTGAGCATGAAACTGTAGCCAAATAATGTGATTTAGTGCCAGTTATGGATAAGCATGACATCACAATACTATGATAATATCTGCCCTATTCATTTGAATGTAACCCCGACTGATTCTCAGTCTTTGTTCTATTGAACAAGGATATAAATTTAACTGTTGCCATTTTTCTTTCATTCTGGGGGGAAAAAAAGATACGAGTTGGGAGCTATAGAATCGCATTTATGACTGCACTTCAGTTCATTTAGAGTTTAAGGAATTAGCATATGTTGAATTGGGAAAATCACAGCTGGATATTGCTAGCAAAACATTAATAGATTGTTACAAACACTTGTGGGAAGTTTGTAATCATAGCATTCTAAATGGAGCTTCTGCTAAATTGAGGACCTAAAATAACAGCGGAAATCCACAAAAGCCTTTTTACATAGTGCAAAAATGAAGCAAGTCATGTACTTCAGCAGTAGTGGTTATATGGTGGATTGGGCAGAAAGGCCAAGGAATGTTTATTGTAAGAGTACACACTGCTTTTTAGAATTCCACAGGGAAATGTTGGTGGGATCTCCACCAACTTTTATGGTCAACAAGATAATATGTAAGTATCAAAATAATAATATTTATAGATAAGAAGTATAGTACATGTAATCGTGAACAGATGTAAGTGTAATTTATTTAAAAGTTAAGAATGTAAATATTGAAAGTTCTGATTTCGATAATCATTTTCAGTTCCCCCCCCTTTTTTTTTTCTTTCATGTTTAGCTTTTCAATGCGAATGGCTTTAAGAGATTTCATACCTAAATTTGGTCAAAATACAGTTTAATTTTCATTTTGCTCATTTTTAAAACTTTAAAAGTGTTACATTTTAATAGGGTTACTTTTTTACTGTGGCAAAATCTGCAAAACCTTGCATTTAAAAGCTTTTTCTTGTCCAAAACTGAAATTGGAAGGTGATGTCAGGATTCGTACGGTCCTTAAAAGTGCTTAAAAGTCCTTAATTTTTTCAAAAATGATTTTTGGTCCTTAAAAGTCCTTAATTTTGGCCAAAATGAATAAACGGTCCTTAATTTTGCTCATTTGACATTTCTTATCATTTCTAATGATTGCCATTCTAAGTGTGAATTACGATTTCTCATGAATATGGAATTAAAATTACACGGCTCTTAACCAATCTGTTGGCGGATTTGCGTTGCAAACGATTAAAAAAAAAAAAAACAATTAGCTACCCGAACGAAAGTATCGGTGTCTGATTGGCTATTCACCCAATCTTTCGAAACAGGTGTTATCCATAAATTTAGGCAGATTGTGACGAAAGCGTGAAGCCGGAAGTTCTTTAAGAGGCGAAAGTGATGATGAAGGTGCTCGAGAAAAAAAAAGGGGGGGGATTCTGAAAATATTTGCCAAAATTAGAGCAATCCCAACCTGGAAGGCCACAACCCTTCCGACGCCAATAGGAACGAGATGCCTGGAAAGTGCATTTTCAATAAACTGTGGCTTCATCAAGCTGACTACAAAGACTGGATATTGATGGATGGCAATCCTTAAATGTGGTCTTTGTCTGAAACAAATTGAAATTTCTAGAATGGGAGAGTCAGCGCTGAAAATTCACATGAAAATTAAGTTTCGTTTTATCATTTCAATTTGTTTTTACACACGGTTTTGCTTAGCTTAATTTCTGTGTTTGTTTCAATTAAGCCATAAATTAATTTTTTATCACCTTCTACGGAGTTTATTCTCTTTTGCACATACTATATGTATGGGATATCGGGATTATGAGTTTATTTCTGCAGAGGGTCTGTTATCGATTTCGCGGGAAATCTGTTGGCTCCATTTCGATTTTAGGTAGGTCGCCAAGGGCAAATTCGGTAACGCTAGCCGAGAAAAAGTGAAGTTCGGAAATACGTTTTGAAGCTTCAATAGACAATTAAGTATTTGGTTTAAACCTATGTTGTTGATAGTAATGCATAATTTTTGCTAATGGCGATACAATTATTAGTTGAAAATAACTAATTAAAATTAAAATTTTTTAAATATTTTTAAAGCTGAAAACAACTAATTGAAACTAATTTTCCTGAATTAACTAGACGCAAAATTAACTTTCATGAATTACTAAAGTTATTGGGTAGAAGTTTAACTGAAAATATACATTCCGTATTATATATATATATATATATATTTATACAGTACAAAGTCCGAGGTCTGGACTCGTCGGGACTTCGGCGATCCCAGATTTGAGATTTTTCCGGATATTAGATCATTTTAAATCTACTAAGATGGCACGTAGAAATTATAAAATTGAAAATATGAAATCGTGATTTATGAAATAATGAAGCATTTATGATTTAAAGGGTATCAAAATTTACAAAAGAAAAGAGCTTAATATTTATATGTTTACTTTATTAAACATTTCTTTCAATGTGAGTTGTTTGATTTGTTTTCTCTGCTAATACTTTAGACTAATACTATAGACATATAATTTCTTGTTCAGTTATTAAGTTCCATTGTTCAAGTCCTGTAATTGCTGTGTCGAGAATTCCGAATAACTTGTCAATCAAAATTTTTTCTCGTTCAGTAACCTCTCTGTTACTTTCTTCACTATCGGTAGCTGTATTTTCTGGATTTAGAACCATACTACAGATTTCGCCCTCCGTTAATTGATTGATGATTGGGCATTGTCATCGCAATGAAAAACTTCTGTTTAACTTCGCTAAATTCTGCCGCCTGGTGCGGCCATGCGAGCTCTGGCGCTGGTTCTGGCTTTATGTGAATAACAAATCAGTTATTCTTAATTCAAATAGCACTAAATATAATCGTTTGTCCTACGAGTATCATTAACAAAATCTATTTTTTAGCATAAGGAAAGAATTTCTGCTAAATCTCCCCTTGTCAACATTTTAGCGCATTAAACTTAAATCTGTAATCGGATAATACTCTATTATTTGGCGTCGCTGCATGATTCATCACTCAAGTTGTCATCCGTTGATAAACATGCGGTGATGAAAGCAAAATACAATAAATAATGATTCGCGATTTCGGCATCAAGGATATAAAATATTAGTTGGTGTAAAATTAACAAATGTTTCGGTTTGAGATTATGCCAAGCAGATACGCAGCTATGGAGTCAAGTTACTAATCACACAAATTTATGCTAAAATATAATTATTTCTTCAATAATGAGATATTTTATTTAGCGCCAAACTGAGATTAAGAATCGGGATTTCCGGCATTTTTTTTATGATGAAAAAAATCTAATGCGTGCGTAAAGCATACCCCTTCAAAAAAGCCCTAAAAAATTGGTTGGTGGTGGCTTTGAGGTCCGGATTTTAGATCATTCCAGATATTGGATGTCCGGATCTCGGACTTTGTACTGTATATATATATATATATATATACATACTTTATATATATATATAATCTTTTAAAATAAACTTACCAGTATGGATTCACTCTTTTAAAATAATTCTACTTTAATTAAACTTAGGAGATAATATAATCAATTAATCAATATTGTTTAGGAAATAAATTATATATATATAGTAAAAAATGTATATTTTCACTATTCAAGTATTCACTGTGACAAGTATTCTTATCTTGTCACATGAACAGGCCTCTGTGGAAAGGGGCTTCTCTGTAAATAAAGCAATTGAAATTGAAAATTTAAGTGACTCATCATACATTTTTCAACGCACAGTATTTGATTACATAAAATTTTCTGGAGGTGTTCTTAATATCGAAATTAATAAAGAAATGAGATCAGCAGCAGCTTCTGCAAGAAGTGGAGTTCGTTATTTAGAAGTTCAGTATTTAGAAGAACAAAAATCTTTAACTAAATCTGAAAATTCAAAGAGGAAAAGAAATATTATTGAAGGAAGAAATTGATTATATGAAGCAGAAGAAAAAACTTTCTTCAAAGGGACATTAAAGACATTAATGAAGAAGTAGATGCTTTAGCAGATAAAGCTGAGACCAGCAGGAACATTGATTTGTTTATCAAAGCAAATGAACTTAGAAGAATAGTTAAAGAAAAGGAAATAGACATAAATAAATTAGATTAAAATAGCTGAAAAGATTTTAGATTTAAAAAAAGCACAAATGTTTTTGTATCTTTTATTGTACAGTTTATTATTCTAGTATCTTTCAAAAAACCAAGGAAATAAATTGTATGTTTACAAATCAGTTATTTTAATCTGCAAAATATTCTTACATTGTGATTATAATAGTAGTTGACTATGTTTAAATAAATATCAAATAAGTTAAATAATAATCATGTAAATCTCTAAAATAGTGACTGTTATTAGTGTAAAATACACTTATACATGTTTTTCAAGAAATTATGTTCCTCATTTAATGTTATCTACTTCATAACTTGTAGGGAGTTAGTTT